AGTCTTGCCCATGGAATGGATTTAGATCCTCGTTTAGATTTTTCAAAACCAGAACGAGGGTATTCTCCCACTGGTTTTCATCCTCAATATCTGCAAGCCTTCGCTTAAGTCAACATATATCTCGTTGTATATCTCTTTGGGTAGGCTCAGGCATGTATCTACTTAGTGACATAGCTTGGTTTTGGAGTGAGAGGTTCAAAAGAGCAAGAGGAAATTAGTGTTTGGTCAAAGTTTTGGCTATGGTTTGGTAACAAGAAAGAAAATTTTTGGTGAAGGGTTAAAACTGATGCTAGGAAACCCTAAGATAGAATTAGGGTTATGTTAGCTCTGATATCAAATTATATCGGAGTTAACCCAAAACCACAAGAAATATAAATGTTATTTGATGAATTCATATAGATTTACAATGAAGACATCACAAAACAGAAATTAGACGATAATTGACATAAAATGACATACTAGGGTGATGGTGAAGAGGGTGAGCTGCTGTAGGACAACAGGTAAGATTGTGACATGAGGCGGTGACAACAACATGATGACTACGGATGGTGTTGCGGCAGCTTGGTAGGGTGTTGGAGGGACTGTTGTAGCAAGATGAAGTGCTGGAGAGACTGTTGGAAGCAGGTCAGAGTGCGGTAGACACTAATGATAGCAGGTCAGAGCACTGGAGAGGACGTCGGTAGCAGGTTTAGAGTGCTGGAGAGGCTGGCGATAGCAGACCAGAGGGCTGGAGAGGCTGGCGATAACAAACCGGGACTGGAGGGCTGTCGACAGTTGGTCAGAGTGTTGGAGGGCTGTCGGCAGCAGGTCAGAGCGTTGGAGAGTTTTTCATTAGCAGGTTAAAGTGTGAGAGTGAAACAAGAAGGGGTGGGAATGTTGGGAAGATGTTAATGAGCAGTGAGGGGAATATGGAAGGATAACTATCCATGCAGTTACAGATCGAGCACCCCTCACCCTTGGAGAAGATCACCACTGCAGACGAGTTACAACCGATGTACCATCTCGGCGTCGGGTACAAACCTGGAAATAAAGAGGACATTGACGGATGTCCAAACAGAAAACTCAACTATACCAAAAACAGAGAATCACACATGCACACACGCACACACACGCACACACGCACGCGCGCGAGCGCACATAAACGCGCACACACGCTCACACACACATATATATAGATGCGCCGCGTACTCAGATCAGTTGGTCGGATATCTGCTTGTCAGTTGTAAGTCCCTTCTGGTCTGGGGTTATTTTTCCCTCGAGTGTAGGGTGTGATACTCGAATTCTTTGGCGCATGAGATATGGTCATGGCTCGTATAATAGACTTCAGCCATTTATTTTTAAATATATATATTGATAGACAAATAATAGGTGCTAGTATTTAGAATAGGAAGGAATTAGAATATGAGGGAAATATAAAAATGCAAGGAATGAATTAGAATAGGTGTTGACTAGTATCTGGAATAGGAAAGAATTAGAATATGAGGGAAATAGAAAAAAGTCAAGGAATGGATGAGGTAGGATTAGAAATAGGAAAGAAAGAGAAATAGATAAGGAATAAAAATATGTAAGGAAGAGAAATAAATAATGACTAGAAATAGGAAATGAATAAATGAATGAGTTCCTCCTATGCAAGGGAGTATAATAGGAAATTGGGAGAGGAAATGCGCGACAATTCCAACTCCCATGAAGGTTGGCCAGTTCAGCTGGCCACCCAGCAAGCCCCGCGTCAGATACCACTTTCTGTCACACCACAATTGATCCCCTCTTAAGGATCTGTTGAAGTGCGACAAAGGCAGCGATTCAGTAAGACTAAATTCTTATAAGTACTAGTCCTAACTTGTATAATCAGGATCCAGTGAGCGATTAACTAGTTTAAATAAATTGTCGCAAACATACTTGATACATTTTATTTCATAATTCATTTACATTCAAATATACTTCAAAACATGAAAATTATATCATAAAAAAAACACACACACACACACACATGTGTGTGAACAATATGAAATTTGTAAACAACAATATGAAATTTGTAAACAACGAGGACTTCATAAAATATTGGCTCATTTCATGATTTAATCCCAAACATAATTTGCTTACGATTTTTTACCTCAAACGGGCTTCGCTGCATAACCAACTTTTCTTCGACTGCACATTCTTCTTCCCTCTTCCATCTATCACCATACTCCTACCTTTTGTTTGTTGATTTCTCTCTAATGCCTCTTACAGAAGCCCATAAAAAAATTTGGTAGCCTTCGACGCATGTTTGCATTCGCTGCAATTACTGAAAATGAAAAAGTGCACCAATTCGTGACATGTCAGAATAGAAACGTAAGGAAGGAAATGTCTCTCAAATATCGTTAAAGTGAATTTCCTACTTAAAGAAGTGTCCCCGAAATTCTTTGTTGTGAACTGTGGCTCTCAGACCGCTGCCCAGTTTGAGCCTGCTATAGGTATCAAATTGCTAGAGCTTCAGGCACAAGGAAACCGAATGAGGGAGAGGGAAGGGATTACAACATTCAAATCACCTCCATTTATTCTTAGTCATTCGATCGAATCAAGTCAACACATGCGCAGCTAAGTGCGGGAGAGTCAGCTAGGAACGATAAGGATCCAGGATTAGGGAGCATAATTAAAGAATTACAGTTTATTTAAGTTTAGTTAAACCTTTTATTTCAAAATTTAATTTCTCTTTATACATTTAAAATTCTTGCTTGATGCTCTATATTAAATTGATCGATTTGACATGTGAAATTTTATAAAATTTCTTCGGTTAAATTTAGAGGGATACAAAATTTGCAATACATTTAAAATTGTCAAAATTATTTCTGGTTTCTCAAATTTTGGGTGTTATAGGACTTATCTTTCTATTGGCCTAGAGGTTTAAAAAGGTGAAATTAAGAACATAGGCTTTTTGCCTTAATGATGCGAGGCGTAAGCCTCGAGGCGGATCGAGTCATAAGCCTCAAAAAAGAAAAGAACTCATAAAATTAAAAATAATTCATAATATGATATAAACCATTGATATGTTGATTTAATTTATTATCAAAAAGATATAAATCACAAATCTTAATTTTAAATATTGATATAAAATAGAAGTTTGAAATGTGATTCTAGGTAAACATTCACTTAAAATTTAAATATTCTATGAGGTAAAGATCTTAGTGGACCCGTTCTTATTTCCATCATCTGCAAAAGAAACATAATATTTATTATCATCTAATTTTAACTCATTTGCAACTTTAAAATATTTTTCATTCACTACTTTTTTATTGCTATCAAGTAATGTGAATTCTATTATAGTTTTTTAAAAATAATAAAGTTATAACTTATCAAGTAGTTATACTTAAATTATTATTTGACCTTTTTGAGGCGTTATATCAGATATGTATTAAATGTGATATAATATAATATAGTATAATATAATTTTTCTTACATAATCTGATCAAGACGTTGCCTCAAACATCTAAAAAAGGAACAAGTGTCACTGGTGATTATGAGTCTGAAGCCTCGAGGCTTTATTTGCGCACCTCGGTCTGAAGCGTGTCTCGAGGAATACCTTTTTAAACAATAATTGGATTAAGTGGATTTGGTAGTGTTGTTGCCTACAAACTCTTGTAGTGAGCAAATACATTTATGTGTCACATTTGAGCCATTAGGGTGGCATTTTTTGTTTCATTATTGTTGGTTTTTAAATAGCTTGCGAGGTAGTATTAGTTTTGAATTTATACTGAACCAACAACAACGCATGTGGCCAAGGTATTTTCGTGATTGTAAATAACATAATTTAGGCTGTTCAGTGGGATGTTTTTTGCTTTATTTTATAAATATTTTGTTTTCCTTCAATCTTATGAGCATCTGTATGATGCTGCATTCCTTGAATTAGTTACAATTACGATAATCTAATTACAGTGAAAGTTATTATATTTTTATTGTGAATTTTTTCCTTATTATTTTCTTCTAAATAATTTGTTATTGATTTTTTTCAGTGTTCATTTTAATCAAATTCCAGGGAAAATTATCCTATATTCGCAGTGAATTATTTTCTTATTTTTTTCTTCTAAATAATTTGTTATTGATTTTTTTTCAGTGTTCCTGATTTAATCAAATTTGATATGGATTATTTTCTTATTGCATGTTAAAGGTAATCAACTTTTGAAATTTTATTGTTCTAAAATTCCAGATGAATTTCTTCTAATCAGGTGATCATGAAGTTGTCTTTTAGCATAGATTCAATGTATTTTCGAGTTTATATGAAAGGAAAGCAATTTCTATTTTTATTGGTAGTCTTTGAATCTATGAATCCTAAATCTTCTTCGCGTGATATTTATTTGTTGCATCATCTAGTTGGATTAGGAATCCTAGACCCTAGGATATCATGCATCAATTCCTCCACTATGTTAATAAAACCTCAATGATTTTGCTTTATATCTCTATTGTATGGTTCAATTGACTACTTCCACATAAATTACACGAAAAATTAGCTATTACATAACGTTCTAGATAAACTAAAGATTATTCTGCAATTTCAACCTGAAGTACTGTTATCTGTGAGCATTTGCATGCTCTTGCTAGATGGATGCTTTGGCTGTTGTTTATGTTACCTACTGTTGATGCCCTCACAATGCTAATTGTTGTTTCATCTCTTGAAGCTTCACTGAAGTAATTTTCCTTATCCACATATTTTCACATATAAGCTTAGCTTCTGCATGTTAAGACTTTTTTCTATCAAATTATAGCTTGTCCGCAGCATAATTATTGCTTGACTAATCCATTTTTACGAATGTTTAGCAACTTTTGGGTTTGTTTCAACATTATGATGTTGAAACTGTTAATATCGTATCTTTACCATTCTGAGATAATTTCATAAACATTTGTTTTAAAAATAATAGTACTAAACTTTCCAGCATTTCGTATTAGTTGATGTTATGAAGCGCATCTCTGCTTCCCTTACTGTATGCGTTTTAAAGATGCTCAGATTGGCTATTGTGATTTTGTAGGGCTTACTAGTGGAATGTTCATGAAAAATGGGGTTGAGATCTCCTGCCCTGACGTTGCAGCTGGTCTATATGTTACAACACGTAATAATAATATTGTCAAAGTAAATGCCTCACCTCATCTTGAAAGTAAAGAATTTGATTTTGCACCTGCTTCTATATATAATGTCTTCCGATTCTTAATTTTAGTTAGCTCACACGGGAAAGAGAGAGAAAGCATAAACGTAAGGTTGACCAAATATGCAAATGATATAAATCAGCTTTACCGTGGATTTGAGATATGAATACAACATATTGTGGTCCTTAAGGATATGAATAAAGTTGAGGGCTCACAGCTTGTGATCTGTGTAGTCTGAATTTTTTAATTAATGGCGTGAATATGAAATGTCAAGCAGAAGATGGTGATTGAAATGGACATGAACTAGCTGGCATAGGCCTGATTCCAGAGTTGTGATGTGATTTGTGCGGCAAGTTCTGTCGTAATCATTAGTTCACCCATTTCAAGCATGGTTGACGGAATGAGTCAATCATACTTCATCTTCCATCTTATCATTCAAATATTTTTAGGTTTTCATGGTTGACCAATGAAATTTTAATAGAAAGTGGGAAGGATTTGAAGTCTGAATTGCATTTTTTAAGTATTATTGGGTTTTTTTTGTTCCAATGGCATACTATTACTCATGCTCTTCATGTTTAAGAAAAAAAATCTTAGGATACATTTCTGAGCAATTTAATGTTAAAGTTAAAGCTATGAATTTTGTTTGATACATTAGAATTGAAACACCCAATTTTAATAGAGGTAAAAATTTGGCAATTTTAAAGTATACCTCAAAATTTGTATTTATTAGAATTTGACCTATTCAATTTTATAAAATTTTAGATGTCAAATCGATCAATTTGATATATATCACCATACATGGGCTTTTTACATATGAGAAGATATAAAATTATGAAATAAAGTTTAATTAAACTTAATTAATTGTAATTAACTTTGTAATATATGCATCGGCCCTGTGGCCACCAACCTATTTATGCCATTCTCAGCCATGGGATGAAATCAAAGGGCTGGGATTCATCGTAGAAGCAATAAGTCCTCTTGAACCTTCACATTTCTCCTTTCTTCCTCTCCTGATTCTTCTTCCCACGAGATCCTCCGCTCGGTCATTGTGCGCGGCTAGACCGTGCGATCGAGAGTCTTAGCTCACTGTTTAGAAGAGACTTTATTTCTATAATATCTATCACATTCTTTTCCTTACCTACGTTTTCTTTTTAACATTTATTACGAATTGAGACATTCCACGTATTTCCTGTTGCTATAGCTTTGCGGGAAACCATTGGACTGTCGAACCAAAAGCTATGCTCTCCGGCAAGCCTATTTCACGAGTTAGGGAAGAGTAGGGGGGACAAAAAGAAGAGGGAACATAATATAAAGGTATCGGGATACATATTTATGTTGAGAAACTATTTCGAGATAAGTTAAAACAAGAAATTCATATTTGGGGTTACATTAATATCTCAATTACGAATTTCATAAATTTTAAAGATATTATGAATTCCATGTTGTACTAGTCGGCGAGTTCGAGGTGAGTTTGGGGAAGCTTGTCGTAGGATTGCTCTATCAATTCAGGTGACATAATTTTGTGTGAACTTAAGAAAAATAACGTTGTACTAGTCAGCGAGTTCGAGGGGAGTTTGGGGAAGCTTGTCGTAGGGTTGCTCTATCAATTAAGGTGACATAATTTTGTGTGAACTTAAGAAAAATAATTTTGTAGGTTTTTATGTGATTATGTTGACATAATTGCATATAGAATTGTATAAATGCAAATTTGATTTATCTCTTACGATGATAAATATGTTTATAAAATCACTGCTTACAGACATTCGCTTAGTTTGATTCATATATGATACATGAAATGCTTATAATGAATGCTTGTACAGAAATTATGATTTAAAAAATATCATAAGTGGTGTTATAGATAGACTATTACATGAAAACTTGCAAGTACGGATGAAAGGAAACGATGAGATTCCCGACTCATGGTATTCATACGGAGAAAACTATGAGAACCATAGGAATCAAACGGGGATAGAATGTGTGGAACTGTTAGAGCCATGGGGGCGATTAATAATAGCTATGTGGGGAGGGTC